TCACAAACATCATTGTCGCCTTTTCTGTGAAATATTGTATCTTTATCCATTTCTTGGATGAAGCAAGTCTCTGTTGAAGAATCATGACACTGGTCTGGTCCCCAGGGGAGAAATAGCCTTGAAGAGTGTGAAAGCTGGCTGTTTCTGACGGACTGCTTTTTAAAATGATTGTATACCTTGAAAAATATATTTTCTCTGTTTAACACATGTTTGTCTTGACAGGACTGACTCTCGCTCTCCGGGTAGTATGAGCTACCTGCCTTCGTTTTTCACCAAACTTGAGAACACTTCACCAATGGTGAAATCCAAGAAACAGGAGATTTTTCGAAAGCTGAACTCATCTAGTGGAGGTGACTCTGACATGGGTATGCAGAACTTGCTTTTTCACTGTATTTTTTTCCAACTTAAGCTCTACATATCTGCCATTCACAAGTGTCCTAACCTAGCTATGTTTCAAATTAATTCTTGAAATTTTTGGATAGTGTCTTGCAAACTTAAGATTTTTTTTAAAGAAAAAAAAAAACCTTTATAGTGGTTGAAATCACATGTTTTGAATACTACTTTATAGTTAGTAATATGACCGAGTGGAGTCACTACCTTTTCATTTCTGCACGTCAAATGTATGTCTTAATCTGAGAGAGCATAGCTGCATGTAACGGCTGCACTGCGTAGTTTGGGTCCATGTTGTGTTCATGCTCTGTGTCTGTACACATTTGGTACACAGTTACTAGTAATCTTTTCATTTATTGAATTCACTGTTACGGATGAATATTTTTACTTTCTAATCATTCTAGACAAAATATGGGCAATGGGTTTGGTAGCCATTACAAACTTGTCACTGAATTTTGGGATACATTCAAAAACTCGGATTACACTTTTCATATGTTAAAACACTAGCTAGTTAAATGCAGCTTTGCACTTTGAAGTTGCAAAGGTGACTGTGAAAACTCGAAAACTCATAGCTCAAACTCAAAAAATCAGTCTGCTTTCTGAAGTAAATTGTTGAAGTATAGATTCATTTTCTTCAGACTTAGAAACATATTTACCTTAAAATGCCAGGAAAGTCAAAACAGAACATTGAAATAAGTCAAAGTAATTATCCCATATGCATTAGAACTCTTGTAGTGATCTTCAGTACTGGAAAACTCATTTATATGTTATGTTTTAATTGCAGCAGCTGCTCAACCAGGAACTGAAATATTCAATTTGCCAGCAGTCACTACCTCGGGTGAGTTCTTTCAGTAAAAGAAATAGTGCAAGTTTCAGAGAAGGTAAACAGATACAGTATCTTTCATTTATGCTTTGGAAGCCCAGTAAATGAGGGAAAATATGTAAAATAAAAAGAATAATATCCTCCATGGAGAAAATGTTGTTTTCTGTATCGTAAGGAAAAATGAAACGACAAAAGGAAACTTTCGAAAAGATTTAAATGGGGACTTGGGCAAGAAAGTTTTATTTTTTGGGTACTTTGCAAAGAGGAAACAATCTTTTTTTTCTTTGTTTTGTAGTGTCTCTTAACTGCTGTGTTCTTAAATTCTCTTTAAACAAAAATTGAGCTTAGTTCTTCAAGTATAGGATACTCGGTAAATTGGTATATTTAAAATATTTAGGTGTTTTTTTTACAATAAATTTTAAAAAATACTTTGTATACAAAGAGAAAAATTAATGCAAGCTGTAGGTTAATATGCTAAATTGGCAGGTGAGGCAGAGAAATGAACTCTGAAGTATGGGAGATGAGAGCTACTAAATCTGAAACTGAATAGTACCCCAGATTGCCTGGCATAGTTTTGGCCAGTCATTGCCCTTCTTGGTACAGTGCTTTTTTGTTTTAAATGGAGAAGAGTAAGGATTGCCATCCACTTAGATGGAAGGTTGAATTTTGAAATAAGGATTGGCCATGTATTTATAAAAATAATTCATTATGTTCCATTAATATGGGAAGTATTCTTTCAGTCTCTTCTCTTACAATTGAGGAATAGCTGCAAATTTTGCTTAAATATGCGATCACTATCAGCATGCTCAGCTTCCTTTGCCTTTTTTTTTTTTTTTTTTGCCTCCCCCACCCTTTTTTTTTAAACATGTAAAACAGCCTCCTGCAAAGAGCCTGACATAGTGGCACTACTCTTCAATATTTGCTGGCATGTCTAACTTACAGCTGTTAAGAATTGCTTCAGAGCATGTGGCTTTGCATTAAACTCATCTTTTTTTTTTCTTTTTTTTTTTTTTTTCCATCCTTCTGCTTCTCTTTTCCCATATCCCTTTGTAATTTTCTGAGATTTTTTTTTTGCCTACCCTCCCACCTTTCCTCGTATGTTTTCTTTTATCTCCCAGGTGCAGTCAGTTCTAGGGGTCATTCCTTTGCAGATCCTGCCAGTAATCTGGGTCTGGAAGACATTATTAGGAAAGCATTGATGGGAAACTTCGATGACAAGAGCGAAGATCATGGTGTTGTGATGCCACAGGCTATTGGGGTGGCACCTGGCAGTTCCAGCGCTGCAGTATCAGCAAATAATGAGACACGTAGGGAAGAAGCTAATCCATCACCAAATTCAGGTGAGGTATTGCAGCTCGGATATACTTTGTGGTCTTGGATAAAAGTAAATGAAGGGTATAAATAAATTTGGTGTCACTGAAAAGTAAGTACCTGTCCACTGAAAGTGGTAAAGTTGATGTTTCTGTTCCCTCTGGCCCTTCTGGCTTTTAAAATGATGCTAGTGACTTCAGGAACATTAGGCAATATTTCTTGGAGAATGACAGCACTGATGGAATGAATAAGAGAAAAGGATGTAGCTCATACCTGTAACATCCCAGATGCA